TGGTTCTGAGACGGTTTAAGCAACGGAGACAAAAGCAAAAACAACAAAACAGAATCAAACCCCTGCCGTAACCTTTGGGGTTCCCCCAAAGGGAGATTTTGGGCCCTTATTATTCTTTTTTATGTCAATGTATCCCACAGTGAAGTCAAACTCCTACGTAGCAATGACAGTGCTCTGTTTTGGAGGGAAAGACCCACAAAGATATTTCAATGTTTTAACACTGGGAAATAGTCCCAGCAAAGGAGTAGACAACAAACATCAACACCCAGGGAAAACTGAAGCCATTCTCTTTGGGACGAAACAAAAATGAGAAGGTAAATAATTTTTTTTGTTCAATGTAATGGGGGGCCCTCACTTTGGTTTCATCATAAAATATTTGGGAAACCCCTTGACCCATGCATGTCAGGGGAAATTGATAGGAAAAAAAAGTGTATAAAGAAAGCGAATGCCAGACAAGTTCCTGATGACAAGCAAGTGCTACCCAAAGAGCTCGCAGGACCCATGTCAAAACCCTTTTTACAAACCATAGGATTCCTCCTTCTTGGGACTCGCCTTTACAAAAAAACTGAAAGATAGACTGCAAAACACCCAAACAAAATCGAAGATTTATCCTGGGGCTGGGACCAAGAAAAAGTAGGCCAGGGTGAATTAACAGAGTTGGATAGCTGAAAATTGGGACAGAGTAAAACAACTAACTAAATCATGTTTATAAAAATTTCTCACAAAAATGTCCAGTATCTTGCTGTCAATTTTTTTTTTAAGGTTTGGAAACCCAAACAAACATAGTACTAGGGGGGGAAAGGCCCCAAATTTGTAGTACCCACAGTCAGTGCCCGCTTAAAAAAACCTTTTTTTTGTACACAATAAAGGAATGGAACAGACGCCCGCACATTCAAGCCTCATACATGAACCCCTTCAAGAAGAGTGCCAAAAAATGTCTGATGAAAGTAGCTACAGAAAGGGAGGGAATGATTTTCTATTTTTTTAACTAAATACGGTAAATTTTCCATATTCCTATAATGACCCCGTATTTTTAGTCTTAATGACCTTTGGGTAGTAGATAGTCTTTTTAGTAGAAAAAAAGATGTTATCCATTGTAGAATAAAAAGAAAAAATTTTAAAACCTTTTTTTATAAAAAATAAGGTAAAAGGACCCCAATGGAAATAAGTCCTCTGTCTGACTTTTTTGGGGTTTTCCAGGGTTTTCTAACCAAATCCTATTATAAATTCTTTTAACTGTTTTGGTATACCTAATAAACTTTCCCTTTCTTACTTAACACAGGCAAAACGGGGTATGGCCTGCGGGCCCCGTCCGCTTTCAAGGTCATTCACCGGGGCCCGTCTTCTCGAGAAATTTCCCAACCCAAACCCTTAATTGCTCCAAACCCCCGCACTTTCAGACCTAGCACACAGCCTTGGAAAAATGCATTTTTTACTGGTCCAAGAAAAATCCACAAACTTTCTATGTTTTTAGATGAACCTCTGGCATGTTAAGTTAAAAACCGTCCTGGGAACCAAAGGAGTTACCGGGACTTCGTGCTCGTTAACTTGTTTTTTAACCATCCTTGTTTTTGTCCAACTATCAGCATTCCTCCCCGAAACACTCATGCATAAAGAACACAGGTACATCTTTCCCCAGTTAGAGAATAACACATTTGTACCGGGCACAGTCGATTCAAACTGGTAGGCCTCAGCTGGTCACCAACTCACGCAGGAGGGGGATTTGTCCGTATTTTTTCCCGGTCGGCAGAGGCGACAAACTGTCGGAACTCCCGGGTTGATACCGCGGATCAGCAAAATACGCTTTTACCTGCCCCCCTTGATAGAGGCGAAAGTCTGAGCTCAAATTCAAAGGGAAAAAGGGTAGCTGACGAGGGCACAAGGCATCGAATGGAACGTTATTTTCCCGTGGACACAACGTATAACAGGAGTCACCTCGCACATAAAGCAAGAGAGGCCTGGCTTGCTACCATCTCACTCATAAACTGCCCTCCCCCCGCCCCCTTTTAGGGGGGGTAGATGGCAGACCAGAGGCCTAGCTTCTCCCTACGAGCCCCGTGAGGGCGGGGAATGTGGCTAGGCCTGGGGACACTTGGTCCCAAAGATGAGGAGGTACCGTACCTCCTTCCATGGGAGACTTAAGTCTCGAGACACTCCCCAGATAGGGAGCCAAGGCCGGGTCACCACTACTTGGAAAAGACCCGGGCCGGGAGAATACCGGCGAATAAAAAAAAAAAAAAAAAAAAAAAAAAAAAAAAAAAAAACCGCACAAAAGAGTTCTCACAACACTGCAGCTGCAAACCCAACAGTATTTTATTTTTATTTTTTATTATTTATTATTATTATTATTATTATTATTATTATTTAATTTTTATGTTAAAAAGAACAAAGAAAGGAGGAACACTGCAGCGGGCCTGTTGGCCCCATTTGGCAGGCCCTTTTACAATCCACCCCAAAAAATATTTCCCAACCCAAATTTTTCAATCCCACCAAAAAAAAATCTTGATGACCTATCCATCTTTTTCAAGTCCCAACAAACCCAAACCCCCTCCCACTCTATTTTTTACCCAACCAAAATTTTTGAAATCCCCAAAAGTCCTACCTAATAACCCAACTGGGTTTAGACTGTCCACTCTAAAACTCCCCTATTTCCAAACTAATTTTTCCCTATTCTTTCTAAATCAAAAACTTGTCAAATTTTAAACCATTACTGGGGGGTCCCCCTTTGGAGAATATCCCAAGCCCCTTATTAATATCCCCTTTTTTAAATTTTACCCATTTTCCATTATACACTTCGTTAGTCCCCCCCTCTTTCTTCTCTAAAAAGTGAATGTAATTTAAGATTTTCAATCTTTCTTATAAGGAAAATTTAAAAAGCTAGTATTAATTTGTCATTATACGCGAATTTTTTTCTAACAATTTTACCCCCATCTGTATATAGACCAGAACTGACCCCATAATCTAGGTGGGCCTTCTAATGAGTATAAAACGTAATATAACCGCTGAATTCTGTTTTTACACTTTAATAAATCCCAGTAACCCTTTTTCCTTTTTACGACGCAGGCTTGCGCTTTCCCTAACCCCCAATCCTTTTCGCAAACTGTAGGCTAAGTTCTACATATTTAGCTGATAAATGCTAGGGTTGTGGACACTCCAGAGCTTCAAACCTTAATTAAAACATTGAACTGCATCGCCACTTTTCTGACCAGGTATTGAGTTTGTCTAAATCCCTGAAGTTCCCCAAATCTACGTTTTAAAACAATTATCCCCACCCTCTTTGTTCCGCGAAATTTGCTCATTTTTACTATAATTCCTTTATCAAGTCATTGATATATTTATAAACAACAACGGGCCCCAAAACTGTCTCCATTTGACTCCCTTCCTCCAGGTTATGGGAACCTGAAGGTAACTTTTTTCTTATGAAAAAGGTTGACTCATCCTTTACTCACTTACATACAGAATCCTTCAAACTCATCACTTTGTCAAACATCATCATTTAACATAGTCGCAGGCCAGAGGTTGTGTAAGGCATGTGCAAGGGTTTCTTTAGTTGCATCATTCCATGCACTGGCAGCTGCATATACAGCATCCTTTAACCTAACTCCTTCAAGCTGTTCACACCTACGCCTTTGTTCACTGCTGCAGGTATGCTGTTCAAGATGTTCTCTTTATATTTAGTCTCCACCTTTTTTTTTTTTTTTTTTTTTTTATGAAATGGAGGGGGGTAAATGAGGTTTTGTGTGCAAGGGGCCTGGACATGCAGCAGGCATGTGTGAGCATGTTAGATAGGAGTGAATGGTATGGAAATTTGTGTATGGACTACCTCCATGTGAGCTGCTCACCCTGGCAAGTACTGATAGCACAGACACCCTGAGATTAGTCATCTCAGTCTCACAAATGGCCTTTAGGACACATTTCCATATGCAACTGATCTTACAAGAAATTCCTAACTACATTCACGAATAAAGGACTGCTTATTTGGTGGTGGAGAATATGCTACCCGAAATCCCCCAACTCTACCCAGGCACCCAGATTCCTCTGGTCCCTGTCATCTAGACACCACATGCAGTGAAATACTTATTACTGCAAGTATTCAGATAGCATTAGTATCCCAGCCTGCACCTAAAAGAACCCTGAATTCAATGGGTATTCCCTAAACAATATTTATGCACTAAGTGACACTACCTTCTAAACTAATACTTAACAAAGAAAATAGAGATATTAGACAAGAGAGAGAGACTGTGAGAAGCATCACCTGTGAAATTAAAGAATGAGGAATCATAAGTTTGTGGGTGAATAATGACTGACTGATTGAGACTGACTGACTGACTGACGACTGAATGACTGATGACGATGACTTGACTGCTGATGACTGACTGACTGCTGACTTGACTGGACTGACTGACTGACACTGACTGACTGACTGACTGACTCTGACTGACTGACTCTGACTGACTGACTACTGACTGACTGACTGACTGACTGACTGACTGATGACTGACTGACTGACTGATGACTGACTGACTGACTGACTGACTGACTGACTGACTGACTGACTGACTGACTGACTGACTGACTGACTGACTGACTGACTGACTGACTGACTGACTGACTGACTGACTGACTGACTGACTGACTTGACTGACTGACTGACTGACTGACTGCTGACTGACTGACTGACTGACTGACTGACTGGCTGACTGACTGACTGACTGAAAGACTGACTGACTGACTTGACTGACTGACTGACTTGACTGACTGACTTAACTTACTTGACTGACTGTCTTACTTGTCTGACTTACTTGACTGACTTAACTGACTGATTTATTTGACTGACTTACTTGACTGACTAATTTGACTGATTTACTGATTTGACTGATTTACTGACTGACTCACTAAAGTTAGACTTTTTCACTGAAGAGGACTCTCAAACGGGCTGATGACTTACCGTCAGTTGTATAATGTACTGCGAGGTAAAATAGAACAGAAATCCATTACAGAATTTATGCACACTCCAGTACCACCATCAACTACAGCACCAGAACCTCTACCATCCACCTCAGCCCAGTAGGACCACAACATAACTCTCCACTCTCTCACAATCATCCACGAACACCAGCATCCACAATTTAAGGTAAGAAACACTATTATTTCTGTTACATTTATAGTCTTAAGCAGTAAAAACAACATATTACTAATGACAATGAACTACAATTACATATTCACTTTTATTTTTGTAAGATCTGGAGGTCGAAAAAAATGTTGTTTGGCTTTTTTGGGGCTCAAGGAATATAATCCTATTTTTCCCATAAGTTCTTCAGTTTACCTAACACAGATTTACCTAACACGGATTTACAGGAATGTAACTACCGTGTAATATAACGGTCTACTGTATTAAAGAGTGGTATATGGTAAGGAGTGTCGTTTGGGTACATAGTACCATATTTTTTAAAGGATGCCTACCGATTTGGAAATTTTCTTGGACATTTACTGGATGTGGGAATGAAATTTAAGATTACAGTTAAGGTAAAGACCTAGAAATTTACCGTCAGTGTGTCTTACAATGGGGAAACCATTTATCGATATATTAAGATGGATATTTAAAGCTCTGTTTCCAAACAGCATGAAGTATATTTTATCTATATTGAGAGTGAGTTTGTTGGTCATTATTTTAGTAGCTCATTGTTTACAGTGTTTCTAAGTATAGCTGGGTTTCAGACACATGTAGTGTCGTCTGCGAATAGAACTGGTTTAAGGAGTTAAGATGCATTAGAGAGATCATTAATGTATATGAGGAAGAGGAGTAGGCTTAGGACACTACCCTGGGGCACTCCGACAGCTACAGGCTGGATAGTGAAGTTGACTCCAATTGCGTGCACATACTGGTGTCTGTTATTAACATAAGATTATAGGAAATCAAGGGAATGTCTTCTGTTGTTTTAGGTGCAGGAGACTGTGGTTCACTGTGTCAAATGCTTTCCATAGGTCAATGAAGAGCCCCAGTGGATATTTATTTTTATTGAGGGCTTTTATATTATTAGTTCAACATTTTATAATAGCATTACTCATTTTTTTTTTGGGGGGGGGACTAAACCCAAACTAGCAGAGGTTAAGTAAGTTGTTGGATATAAGGTAAGGGTAAAGTCGTTCGTGTATTATTTTTTCGAATAATTTAGAAAGGGCAAGTTTTATATAGGTCTATAGTTGTTCAGATCAGTTGGATCACCTCCTTTGAGGATCAGTTGGATCACCTCCATTGAGGATCAGTTGGATCACCTCCTTTGAGGATCAGTTGGATCACCTCCATTGAGGATCAGTTGGATCACCTCCTTTGAGGATCAGGGTAACATTTGCTGTCTTGACTATGGATAAGAAGGTTGATGACTCAACAGATTTGTTAAACACTGTTGCAATAATGGGTGACAGCCTACGAGCTGTAATTCTACCTCACTTTAAGAAATACTCAATTGCCCAATTCTATTCTAAAATCCCTATTATTGCCCAAGTTTTGCTTTAAACTATATTGATCAAACTTATTGTAAACTTCTTTTATTGACCATTTTATTCTATACTTTTTAAACCAGTATTTTCAACTACAACTTTTATATTATCCTGTCTACCATCTTACTAGCATATTATAACCAAGTCATTGCCATTTTTATTTTTATCACTTTTTTTTTATTATTATTCTTTTGCTACCTTAACTTGTGTATTTTATCCTGTCAATTTAAATATAGTTATACTCTAATTCTTGTAAACAACTTATATAAGACCTTAGTGCAATTACAATTGAGAGTCTTGTGCCTTTTTCATATTTTTAGATTAAACACAGTTGTACTATAGTCAATACCAAATTCATTATATTAGACCATAGTGCAATTACTAGTGAGAGACTGGTGCTATTTTTAATTTGTATTTTTATATTATTAGATTAAACCTAGTTGTACTATAGCTCACTCTAGCTCAAAACATAGACTCCACAAAAGTCATTATATTAGACCTTAGTGCAATTACAAGTGAGAGTCTTGTTCTATTTTAAATTTGTATTTTTATATTACTAGTTTATACCTAGTTGTACTTTAGTTCATTCCAGCACAACACATAGACAACATCAACTTCATTATGTGTAGTAGTGACTATACTCTATATGACCAAAATACTCTAGCTATATACTTATCCAAGCTTCCCACCACTACAGATATCAGTACTAGAACTCAACACATAACTCAGGATATAAATAACCATAATTTAAACCTAGAAGATGATTGATCACAGTTGACCCTGATCTAAACCTCCATAATCTGACACCCAATCAAAACCTATTGGAAAGTAACTGCCTTTATTACACAGCATCACAAGCCAGCACTATCCTAAACAATGCTAAAAGTCTATTATGTTTGGTAGCAGAGCAGGAGATGCACAAATTAACATTAAGATCGACAACACTCTAATTACCAGACATAATGAGGGCAAATTCCTAGGCCTATACCTTGACAACAACCTGAATTTCAGCACCCATATCCAACACATAACCAAAAAAGTATCCAAAACAGTTGGGATCCTCTCCAAGATACGATACTATGTGCCGCAAAATGCCCTTCTCACACGATACCACTCACTTATTTATCCATACCTCACCTATGCTATTTGTGCTTGGGGATCAACTGCAGCAACACACCTAAAGCCAATAATAACCCAACAAAAAGCTGCAGTAAGAATAATCACTAAATCCCATCCCTGGCAACACACCCCCCCCCCACTCTTCATAGATCTAAATTTACTCCCTGTTCAGTACATCCACACTTACTACTGTGCAATCTACATCTACAGGACCTTAAACTCCAATATCAACCTTGACCTAAAATGCTTTTTTGATAGTTGTGACAGAACCCACAGGCATAACACCAGACACAAACATCTCTACGACATTCCCCGTGTCCGACTAAACCTTTACAAAAATTCAATGTATGTCAAAGGCCCTAAAATCTGGAACACCCTACCTGAGAACTCAGAACTGCAGACACATTCATCACCTTCAAAACTACCATTAGAAAACATCTTATCTCCCTGATACAACCCCATCAACTAACTACACGAATACCACCTGGTGGTTCACACTTTCACTCACCCATTTGACCATAAACAGAAATATTAATCTCAATCTTAAAATAATGAATCCTATGATACTCCAATACTGAAACTATGTACTGTGCCAAAACAAAAGCATTCACATTGCTAAACTCACAAACTAGTATTTAGTCACTTAGCCATAATACCAACTTACCTCATAATTTGTAATATTTTAAAATAAAGAATTAAACTAAGTCTGCCCGAAATGCCTAGCCATGCTAGGCGTTCTAGTGGTACACTCTGTAATCATTATTTAACTACATGTAAACCACACAACAACCAAATTCTGTAAATTCAACATTGTAATCTTTATAGAGAATATAAACTTTGAATTTGAATTTGAATTTGAATATGAATGTCGGCAAGTTATTTAGATCTCCTGCTTTGTTTCTTAATGATTTAATGATGAGTGAGACTTCAGTAGAATTAGTTGGTGCTAGATATAGAGTATTTGGGTAGTTACCAGTGAAGTAGACTTTTGGCTGAGTATTTGTGCTTGGTATTTTGTTGCTTTGATCCTACAGTAGAGAAGAAGTTAGTTTAATATCTTTATTATGCATCTCATACCCATCCTGTGGGTGGTAGTCACCACATACCCATCCTGTGGGCGGTAGTTACCACATACCTATCCTGTGGGTGGTGGTCACAACATACCCATCCTGTGGGTGGTAGTCACCACAAACCCATCCTGTGGGTGGTAGTCACAACATACCCATCCAGTGGCAGTAGTCACAACATACCCATCCTGTGGGTGGTAGTCACAACGTACCCATCCTGTGGGTGGTAGTCACCCCATACCCATCCTGTGCATGGTAGTCACAACATACCCATCCTGTGGGTGGTAGTCAAAAGATTACAGAGGTACATAATGGGTCCAGTGACTGGACCACAAATTTTGATAGCTGAACTAGTTACAAAGGTAATGAATTATGTAAGTTAATTTACTCACTTTTATACATGGTTACAATCATGAACAAATTACACAGTAATGAACAATTCACACGTCCACACCCGGTCACAGTTGTAATGAGTTATTGGTGCAAATATTAATTGTTGGGTCACACATACACATGTGAACGACATGACGGAAGGGTTAGACTCAGAAGTGTCCCTGTTTGCAGATGAGTGAGAGTTAATGAGGAAGAATTTAAATCTGATGAGGACCAGGCAGGACTTCAAAGATACCTGACAGACTGGACTCCTGTTTTTTTTTCCCCCCCCCCAGCAATGGCTTCTTCCGAAATTTAATCTGGCAAGAAATCAAAGTCATAGAAGATAGGGAAGGGCACAGAGACCACAGACAGAGTATAGGCTAGGTGGCCAAAGACAGCAAACCCTCACTCCAAGGATGAAACTGATCTTGGGTGAGTATAACACCGACATGTCTCCGGAAGCACACATCAAACAGATAACTGCTGAGCAAGTGCGCCTGGCACACCTGAGAACAGATTCCGAACACCTTAGTAAGGAATCATTCAAGACACTGTACAACCGTGTATGTTCAGGCCCATACTGGAGTATCAGCACCTGTTTTGGAACCCTCACTTGATAAAGCACGATCAAAAACTAGAGATAGTACAAAGGATTGCAACAAGGTTAGTTTCCAGAGCTAATGGAATGTCCTATGAAGAAAGATTAAGGTAAAATCCGGCCAGACGACACTGGAGTACAGAATGTCATGGGAGACAATTATAACGACATATAAAAAACTGCGTGAATAGACAAGGTGGACAAGGACCATGGATGTTCCAGGAGGGACACAGAAACAAGAGCCACAATTGGAAGTTGAAGACACAAAGAGCAGTAGAGACAGTAATTGAAGATTTTCATCAGTCATAGAGTTGTAAGGTCAGTGAATAGCCTAGAAAAATGACGTAGAGAAGGCAGAAACCATACACAGTTTTTAAAGACGAGGTTTGATAAAAGCTCATGGAGCGGGGAAGAGGAAGGGCCTAGTAGCAACCGGTGAAGATGCGGGGC